TCCTTGTTGGTCTTCCCTCCCCATCCCTGCCCCCACACCCAGACACATCCCCTTCCCAAGGCCCTTCCAGCGCCGACCGAGAAGCCCTTCAGAGGAATCCAGGTCACCTGTTAACACCACTTGGGGGGTGTTTCTTTGCAGTTTTGGGGTTGATTTTTCTGTCTTAGCCTCCGGTCCCTGCCCCTTCCCCACCCCTCATCCGGGCCCTCTCCCCGTGGCCCAGCTTTGCCGTGGGCAGCTGATGGGAAGGAGGAGCAGGAACGAGCCCGTGGCGAGGATGTGCCAGCGGGTCAGCGCTCAGACGTGCAGGGGGGTGGTAAATTGGAAGCAGTGGTTCTCGTTTGGTCCGTTCCATGCCGCCTCATATTTATGCATTCACGTATACCTTCTGTTATTTATGCATTCATTACTCAAAAGGAAATGTATCTTGTTTCACATTGTATTAAACTGTATAAACTGGAAGCGTGGCCTGACTTTGTGCCGCAGGGATGCCCGAGGTGTCCGTCCCGCTCCCAGAGCTCGGCATTCCCGAAAATCCTCTTGCCTCGACGTGGCCGCTGGGGCTGCAGATTCCAACCCGGACCATCCCCACTGGCGTTTGGGGCTGCTCCCACCTCCCGCTCGGAGGATCCCCCAGCTCGCTCCGGAGCCTCCATCTGTTCCTCCAGCTTTGTGCCGGTGCCTCCGAGCACCTGCGCCGCTGTAATTAAGAGTCATTTAGGATTATTGTAAATAATGATTCTGTCTCAGTGGGATAGTGAGGAATTCCAGGAAAGAGCCATAAAAAGTCGTTATTTGACAGCGCTTTGGGGATGGTGGGAAACTCCTTTTGTTGCAGTTTAAGGAGCAGAGAGGAAGGAGGGAAGGTGAATCCCCCTGAATCCTGCCTGGGGGTGCGTGGGATGCCCTGGTGTGTCGGGACACTCGGGGTGTTATTTCTTCCTGGGATTATTTAGCTTTGCTGGGAAAGGAAACGTCCCCAGTGCCTGAATTCCCTTCGTGCTGCCACAGAGCTGGAGGAAAAGCCTCTCACCACGGGGCTGGTGGCTGATCTTGGTGATGGGGAAGTGGTTGTAGACCAAGTTGGAAGGACTTGAGGCCACAGCAGCGTGTCAGGAATGAGTTGGGATATTCCCCTCCTGTGGCCACTGGTCCTGGCTCTACCCAGGCTCACACCAAGTCCTGTGCCTTCTGACAAAGCCACACATTCCCAAAGCCCACAAAACCCAGCAGGACCCAAAACTACTCCGTCCACGAGCCTGCAGAAACATTCTGGTGGCGTGGGGAGAAGCAAGAGAGCAGACAGTGACCGTGAAATGCTCCCTGGAGTCTCTTTTTGGGGACACTCACCTGGACTTCCAGGTGCAAAACCCCCCAGAGCTGCATCCTCAGCCCAGACCTGGCCATGACCAGCACAGAGAACCCATTTAACATCGTCCAGAGTTAATTTTCCTGCTGATTAAATCTCGGCAGCATTAAGCAATTTCCCCCACCCCCCCCCCGGGGCTCTCTGCGAGCCTTGCTTAAGATCGGAAGCGAAAAGCACCGGGCAAATGCAAGTCATGATTATTTAATTGGATCGATGCCTATTTTGCATTTTTAATGACGATTTAGTCATGTCCATTTATCAGCCAGACTCTGCTCACCCCCCACTCTCCATTCCAGCAAACCCACAGCCCGCGGGGACGGGCGCTGAGTCCGTCTGGGCTTGCTCGGAGCCGCCTCGGGGAGTGGGGATCAAACAGGGATTAAAAAAACCACCACGTTGAGGAAGGGGCAGAGGAAACCATCGCAAAGAGCCTTCACAGGGGCTCCGCTTCAAGGGTAAATGTCGATCTGAAATTCCCTTTGTTGTGCTGGGGAGAAAAAAAAAAAAAAAAAAAAAAAGCCTTAAAAAATCACCAACCACCAAATGTGACTCCAAATTAGCCCCAACCCTTAATCTGTCCGTGCTGTGAGATCAGACAGGTTGCATGAATGCTAATAAGCATTTGATATTTGTACAAGCTTTCTTAGGATGAATAATTAAATTGACTTTATCCATTAAACTTCCCCTTTTAAGCTTTCAAGACTGTGGCTGTGTTTTAACGGCTGGGGCCGCTCGTCTTCCAGACAAGGGGGACTTAATTAGGAATTTTAGCACAGCCTGACAGAGCCACAGCGTGGGCTGAGGGGAGATCTTTGTCACTCCTTGGTTTTGAAGCAGCTCAACATGTCTCTCTGCTGGAACCCTGGAATATCTCCAGCTCGCTCCAGGTGGGTGCTCCGTCCTCTTCCAGCAAAACGGTGTTGCCAGAGGCAGCTCTGCCTCTCCCACCAGGGGTTTTAGCCCTTTCCATGGGGTCATCTCCACTGTGGAGGCTGGGAGGGTGCAGAGGGTTTTCTCTGGAATGAGGGATGTGCAGTGGCACTGATGCACTCCACGGGTTTTGGCACCACTTGATGATCCTTGTAGGTCACTTCCTACTCGAGATTCTATTCCATGATGCCCTGTTTTGACACTGATGCACACAGAGATGTCACCAGGAGGGTTTCATCCCCACCTTCAGCTGTCCCTCATGCCAGGGCTTGTGTCACTCACTTGTACGTCAGGGTTGGGTTGTTTTTTCCAGCTGTGGCCACTGGGCTATCCAGCGAAAAATAAATCTGCTAATGATGAAAGGGAGAAAATGCCAACAACTCTCATTTTGTCACGCCACGGGGAAGAAACCAGATTAATTATTGGAACATTTGATTGAAATCCCCTGGAGCAGCTTGTTGTTGCTTCCACTTCGCCCCACGCAGAGGAACAAGCTGCCGAGGGCCCAGGGAGGCGTCCCCAAGGTTTGTCAGATGCACAGAGAACAGCTCTCCCACCTGAGTTACCCCCAAAAAACGCAGTCACCACCAGAGTGGGCAGCTGATAAGCAGGATGACTTCATGCCCCTTCCCTTCTTTTCCCCAAAGTTTGGTTATTCCTTGTGCCCTTATCAAATCCAAGGACCCTGCTGGGAACCAGCTCCTCGGGCCCTCCTCATCCTCTTCCCCTTCCTGCCTGCTTGTCAGTTTGTTCTGACTGGCTCAAACCAAGCCACTAATTAATTCTGCTCGTTAACCAAAATAAAAATCTCACCAATGATAACAAGTTCCAGTCAAATTAATTCTTCGTGGAAGAACCGGGCACTTCTCAGCTCCTTGGCAGTGACACCTCCCTTACCCAGCAGGGCCCTGCCTGGCACAGGGAGGGCAGAGCTGGACCTTCCCTGGAACTGTTTAAGGCCAGGTTGGAAGGGGCTTGGAGCAACCTGGTCTGGTGGATGAAACGAGGGGAGCTTTAAGTCCCTCCCAACACAAACCATTCCATGATTTAGACACGTAACACACCTGTCTTCACCCAGGTGAAGGGAAAACTAAATCTCCAGGCAAATGCATTCAGCAAGAATTACAGCAGGAATATCCCCTTCCTGGAATATCTGAGCAGCAAGAGGGAAAAGCTCTGAGAGCAGGAGCAAAAGGCAGGGAAGACAAAGGGCAGGGAAGCTCCCCTGCAGCCTCCTCGCAGGGAGAAGGCACAGGCAGGGATGAGTCAACGTTGTGCAAACAGTCTAAAAATAAAACCCGTTTATTGCAGATAAGTGATACCATAAAATGTATTTCACTGGTCGCTCAGAGCAGGTGTTGATCGTAAATATTTGGGGTTAAAAATAAACTTTTGTTTGCCGTGCCACTGTAGCGTTGTTTGCGTCTCTCCCACCTTCCCCCTGCGCCTGTTGGCAGCGATGGATCAGCCCCCAGGCTGCTGTAAGCACACCTGAACAGGTAAGGGAGACAAAGCACCTGCTTCCTGCTGCCTCCCTGCAGCACAGGGATCTGCTGCTGCTGCAATCACACTGAAGTCCCATCCCAAATCCCAAGACTGGGACAAGTCCAGGAGAAGAGGTGAATGTTTTACGTGGCCAAGAGAAACAGCAGCATCATTAAATAACACCCGTGGATTCACCATGATCCACAGGCTTTCATTATGCTTGGAAACCAAACTCTCTGATGGATCGTTAATTAAGTTTTCCAGCAGGATAAAAACACTTCCTTGCTTGGGATTTCGTTCTGCTCCCGAAGATTAAATGTGCAGCCAATTAGAACAAGGCTGGAAAGACTAAAAGGTCTTCTTATGGCTGGGAGGGGACAGAGCCCTTCCAGAGGCAGGTACAGATGACTCATGGCTGCTGAAAAAGCCTCCTGCTGTCTCTCTGCCATGGGGAAAGCCTACCAGTGCTGATAGCACTCCTCCAGCACCTGCATATCACTTGCCAGGCAACAAAAAAATTCCTTCAATTGGCTCTTAGCAAGCTCCAAGGTAGCTGGTAGCCAAGTGCAGTGTTAATTAAACAGCCTCACTAACTGCTCCAGACAGCTGCTCCAAAACTGCTTTATTTCCCCCTCTTGACAGTTTTCAGTCCAAATGAATTATTTTCTCTGAAGCATTTCTGAAGGGAAGGGGAGAAAGGATAAAGTTTCAGGCATTCTCTCCCATCCCTCTTGCTTTTTACTCCCATTCTTGTCTTGGCAGAATTTGTTTGGCCTGAAAAATCGAGTTGAAATAAATACTGACAGACAATACATTTATTGGAACAAGGGAGGTATTTTTCAACTTGAAATGTAATGGTAGTTTACTCTCAGTCCAGTATAGAATCCCAGAGTGGTTTGGGTTGGAAGGGACCTTAAAAACCATCTCATTCACCCATTGCCATGGGCAGGGCCATCAGTATTTATACACGCCACCCCTTCCAGCAGAAAAGCGTGTCTTGGTGCCTTTCCTTAGGGAAAGGTTGCAGCGAACAGCCCATGGTGTGGCACTGCAGGGAGCCTCCACCAGGATGCCAAAGGGAGGGAAAAAGGAGACAGTGGGATGAGGACAAGGACTGAGGCCATAAATCTCTGCTCAGCCCGTCCGTGAAAGGGCTCTGGACTGGCTACAACTTGAAACCCAAACAGTGCCGAGCCAGGGCTTTCCTTCCTTCCTCCCATCCTTCCCCAGAGGGTCTGGCAGCAGAGAAATGCCCCACAGATTCCTCACGGCGAGGGGAACGTGGTGTGGGACGGAGGAAGGAGGAGAAGGGATGACTGGTGGCAGATGGTGGCCGGGCGGGTGAATCTCCACGGGGCTGACGGGCGCGTGGGCAGCGAAGATTCCTGGCAGGAGCCGTGGCACGACCGTGGTCCTGATGGGCCAGCACTGCCACATCACCAGCCAGCACTGTCACGTCACCAGGCCAGCACTGTCACGTCACCAGGCCAGCACTGTCACGTCACCAAGCCAACACCGTCGTGTCACCAGCCCAGCACCGTCACGTTGTGGTCCCTGCAGAGAAAACAACAAGTCCTGGGCACAGATTCCTCAGCGCATTCATCCACCTTGTTTACACACCAGATTCACCCCCTTTCCTTTTAATTATAGTGTTCTTGGTAAACCAGCACCGTCCCCTTTCCTCCCCTTCCCTCCCATGGCGTGGCAGCCGCATCCGCAGTCCTCGGCGTTCCGGAGGTGTTTATCCTCATATCCATAAGGAATAATCACCGTGCTGTGGACATCCACGGCTCCACTGGCCTCCCCCTCTCCTCATCAGCTTGGCTTGCGGGGTGACCCTCCTGAGATGGCAAAATTCATCACTATTCCCACTTTTCCTCCCTGGAAACACCTCGTGGCTCTGGCCCTCGCCCAGGAGCCGGAGCTGCTTCGGCTCAGCCAGCAGCATCATCTAGTGGCCATGGCCTCGACACCACGGAATCAGGGAAGATGGAAGGGACCCACAGGGATCATCGAGTCCAACCCCTGGCCCTGCACAGGACACCCCAAAATCCCACCATGTGCCCGAGAGCGTTGTCCAAGCACTCCTTGGACCCTGACAGGCTTGGGACCAGCTGCTGGGAAGGCTGGCGTTGATACAGACATTGATATTAAATAAATAAAAAAGTCTCAACAGGCGTTGATATCAGATAAAAAATAACGCCAGGGATTCTAAATGTGGGGCGGTGCGAGGATAAAGGGGGAGCGGGCGGAGGGGAGGCCAAGGGAGGGAAGGCTGCGGGCCAGCCGAGGGCAGCGGGACTGTCCCGGGTGACACAGGGCTGTCCCGGGGGTGACGGGGGCGGTCTGGCTGCGTTCGGTGGCGGTTTTGGGTCGGGTTTGGGGTGGTTTTTGGGGAGTGGGAGCCCCGCGAAGCGAAGCGGAGAGCGGAGGAATCGTGTCCCCCGCGCCGCCCCGTCCGTCCCCATGGCAACGGGCGCGGCCAACATGGCGGCGCCCAGCGTGTTCCTGCTGGCCGTGAGCGGCGAGATCGAGAGCGGGCAGGTGAGGGAGACCGCGGGGACATCCCCAGATACCCCCCGGGATGCGGGACCGGGACCGGCAGCGCGGCCCTAAGTCGTCGGTCCCGTGTCCGCCCGGCGGGATAAGACCGCGCCCAGACCCTGCCCGGCTTCAGCCACCTCCCCAGCGCAGCGTGTTCTCAGCGCCCCGGACTCACCCTAACTCGGCTCGGTCTTAGCCCCTCTAAGTCTGCCCGGCCTCAGCTCGCCGAGCCCAGCCAGTCCTCAATCCCCCTGACCAACCTGGCCTCGGCCCCTGGACCCAGACCGTCTCAGCCCCCTGAACCCAGCCAGGCTTCCACCCCTGGTGAATCAACCCGGCCTCAGCACCCCCTAAACCCCCTAAACTCAGCACCCCCAAAGCCCAGTCTCAGCCCCCCCAAACCCCTGAGTGTGCCCTCAGCTCTGCCCTCAGCTCTGCCCTCAGCAGTGCTCCTTGGGCAGACCCAAATCCCCACTGACACCCTCCCTGTCTCCCACAGTTCCCTGGATTCGATGATCTCTACTGCAAGTTCTGCTTCGTCTACGGCCAGGACTGGGTCCCCACCGCGGTACAGCCCCTCTGTGCCCCCCAAACCCCCATCCTGGGGGCTGCCAGGCCCCCCCACCAAGCCCCCAGCTCACTGCACCTTCCCCCCGCAGGGCCTGGAGGAGGGAATCTCCCAGATCACCTCCAAGAGCGACGTCTCGCCCACCACGCTCGTGTGGAACCTCCCCATCGACATCACCTTCAAGAGCACCAACCCTTTTGGCTGTGAGTGTTTTTTGGGGGGGGGCAGGGGGGATGATTTCCAGCCCCCCTCTCACCCCCCTTTCCTTGCAGGGCCGCAGATTGTGCTGAGTGTCTACGGGCCCGACTTCTTCGGGCACGACGTGGTCAGAGGTTATGGAGCCGTTCACGTGCCCTTCACGCCTGGAAGGTGAGTGACAGCCTGTCCTTCGGGGCTCAAACAGGTTTTTGTTCCAGCTACTCTCTTGTTTCAGCAACAAAAACGCTCCCATGTCTCCTCCTGGTGCCTCGTGGTACAAAGGGCTTGGATTTTCTAGGAGTCCCTGACCACCAAATAGTTTTTGTTAGTCCTGTGAACACCTCTAAGGCAAAAAATTGGCCTGTAAAAAGGCCAAATACGAAGCACAGTAAATTGCTTCTCCCCCATCACTCTCAGCACTCAATAAGCTTTCATTCCCACCTCTGGAAAAGGAGGAATATACACTGTTCCTATGCAAACAAACTTTTCCTCCTTGGAAGGAAAAGTGTCCCACCTGGAGATGTTCAGTGTTCTGATGTGTCTGAAATTCTGGTGCCTTTATAAATGTACAAACTCTTGCTGTTTGCTCCCTGTCTGAAGTTCTCTGGGTCTCTTTTTTTGCCTCAGGCACAGAAGAACCATCGCTATGTTTGTTCCGGAGTCCACCTCGAGGCTGCAGCAGTTTACAAGGTAATAATTAATGACTTTTATGTTTTTAAAGTCCTTCTTGCCCTTAGTCACAAAGGCATGTCCAGCAAATCACCGGTGCAGACATGAATATTCTGTGCCATAGCCAGGTAAAAATCACATTTTTAGCTATCTGGGTATTTTGAAAAGCTTCCTGAAAACATGTTAACTACCTGTTTACTGTACTGAACTCACTACCTAAATCTTCTTAGGGTATTTTTTTTGTAGCACAGCCACATTAAGAGCAACCTGCAAAGCAAAGAAGGTGGAAAAACAATTCCCATTCTACTTTTTCTCCCAGCTGGAATGCATTTGCTGTAACCTTTATCTTGTTCACACACACACATCCTTCCAGGAGCAGCCTGTACACAGCAACTGAGGGTGTTTTTGGCATGCACAGAATGAGCTGGGCCCATCCAAACCCTCCAGTTCCTTGTTCTCTGTGTTCTTTCCCCAAGCTGGCTCACAGGGAGGCGCCCGGAATTCACCGACCCCAGAGTTGTGGCGCAGGGAGAGGGACGAGAAGGTCAGTCCTGGCTTAAGCTTGGCCATCCATCTTTGGGAGGGCTGAGAACAATCCTCCTTGGATATCCCGAGTTCAGAACCCTCCTTTGGCTGGTTCTGCTCACGTCATCTCTGTTCCAGTGACGAGGGTGAGATCCCAGGGCTTCGTCACCGTTTCCTTCAACGTCATGACCAAGGACCTGAAGAAGTTGGGCTACGACGTGACCCCCAGTGATCTGCAGAGCCCCTCCCTGGGGCCACCAGGGCTCCACAAGTACTGACCTGTGCCATCAGGTGCTCAGAAGGCTCCCAGAGAAGTTCAGCACTTGGTGGCTTTTGAAGGAAAAGGTGGCGGGGGGGGAGCTGGTTAATCTGGGAGAATTATTCCAAAAGAAACACAACCCCGTGAGGCTTTGGAATAACGACCAAGGACAATCCTTTCAGTAAGTTACACGTTTGAAGTATTGTGTAAATTAATGCCATCAGATAATACTTGGCATTTTTATGAGCAGTGTCAGACTGTCTCACAGTCTGGGACAAAGTATTTTTATAACAGCCTTTTGTACACTTTTTATGTAAATAATGAAATGTAAAGTTCACAGTTGTAGTTTTCCTGGGGTTAAAAAAATAATCGAAAACCCAGTTCTTTTTAGTAATTTTGGGAAGGGGAGGGTTGTGGTATAAATGGGGAACTGAAATTATTGCACCTTCCAGAAACAGTCCAGAGAAACGCATCCCCCTCTGAGCTCTTCTTTTAGGCTGAATAAACCCAATTGTCTACATCTATTTGTTTGTCTTTCTGCTGCTCAGGCCTTTTGTTCGTGCCCTAAACCATCCAAGCTCTGCTCTTACAGGCACAGGAGAGAAAGAAGGGTGTGTTACAATGGACTGACTAATTGCTTAGTCATCTTGAGATTGGATTTGGGGCCTGTAAGAGTCAAACCTCTTGTGTTTGACTGCAAATCCCGGGAGGTGCCTGGGAGAGTGAGGATACCACCCTAAGAGTGAACTACCAAGAGCTCAAACTGTAGAAACACAAGTAATAACACACAGTGAGGAACGACAAAGCCTCCAGGACACGAATCAACAAAGAATCCAATCAGAGATTGTTCTTATTTCATGCTGAGCAGCGAGATTGGATAAGTAATCATTGCTGAAAACATCATGTGATCGCCGTGGGAGCATTAGCACCTTCGATACGATGGATAAAGGCTTTTCCAAACCTGGTTGAGGGTGATTTTTCATCTCTCACATTTTTCCTGTCTTGCTTTTGTTGACTCCACACTTCCAGTAAAGCTCCTCTCCACCAGTTGTTTTGGCAACTCGTGTAATCTCTCAACTGAGTCACGTTGGAATCTGAATTAATAAATATTTCCTGTTGGCTCAGAGGAGGCCAAAGGAATTTTGTTTCCTTTTCAGAAGTATTTGGGAAGCAGTTGGCTGCAGTAGCAGGATAAATATCTGTGTTTGGAACACTCCAGGGGCAAACACTGAACCTCCCACTGCTGAAACATCCCTTTTCCCTTGAGCACAGTTACCTGCCCCCATCCCAGCTGGAGCAAAACTGCCCCTCAGAGCTCCCAGGCACGAGGAACCTGTTAAACCCACCAAGGACACACCGAATTTATTCACACACAGCTCTGCATCCTGGTGCTGCAACCCTCCTGTTGGATGTTTAACCCCACTGAGAGCCACCAGACCCACCCCAGCTTCCCCCTTCCCAGCCAAGCTGCCAGGAGCCTCGGAAAAGTTAAAGCAGTGAAAAACAGGGAACTAAAAAAAAAAAGCAAAAATCTGAAAGGTTGGAAGAACCCAGTAAACCCCAGCCTTGCTGCAGCACAAGTGATTTCCTCAAGCCCACTTCCAGGCAGCTCTAACACCCTGCTCGTTTCCTGGTTAATCATTCTCCCTTCTGGTCAAACCTGGACTGGAATTCCCAGCCCCGGGTGGCACAGGGGGCAGCACGAGGCTCTCAGATGCTGCTGGAGCTCCTGTTTTGCTGCTCTGAAATCTCTCCCAGACGCTGGAATTGGGCATGACCCTCCCAATTTGAGATGGGGCAGGAAAAGAACCTCCACTGAGAGCGAGTGGCCATCACAAACCGGAGAGGGACCCTCTGGAAGCAAAGGAAGGCTGGGAGATATTTGGGAACTGTGCAGCAGCTCCCTTTGCTCTCCTGGCCTGGAGAAGCTTTGGATTGTGCTCCCTCCGTGGGGGTTTTCCTGCTCTCACCCCGGGAGGGAAACAGCCAAGGACACGGATCAAACAGCAGCTTGGGGACCAAAGCTCCCAGAAAAAGGGAAATCATTGGGATAGTCCTTAGGAACTGTCATTTACAGCCTTTTCTACCAAAACTAGGAACAGCAGCATCAGCTCCTGCCCTCTCGTGGCAGCTCCCAGCCTTTCGGAGGATGCTGGAGGAGGTTCGTAACAATCGGCTGAGGAGGGGCTGGGTGAAGGACGCCCACGTTTTTCCTGTTCTCCGTGGAAACGGCTCAATGCAGCGGCTGCCCTGGCACTGCCCCCTGTCCCGAGAGCACGGGGCAAACACCTCCCGGCGCCACCGGGAATGGGACTGAGCCAGGAATGGGAGCATCTCTGAGCGCCGGAGAGCCTGGCTCTGCCCCGAGGGCAGCCGGGCTGCTTTGCACCAGCAGTGCCGCGGCAGCTGGGAATTATCTCCATCGGAAAATGAGCTGGATTAGAGCTGACAGCGACTGCTCCCCAGCAGCAGCGCCGGGGCAGCAGCAGGAGCCTCCTGTGAAACGCTCCAAAGGAAAAAAAAATTAGAAAAATAAAACAGAGAAGGACAGAGCAGCCAGATCTGATGAAAATTGGGAGCTGCAGCTCCAGCTCCAGCCAGGGTTGTGGCATTTCAGCCCCAGGATGCCAAGGTTCATGCCAAGGTCACTGGAGCATCCTGCCAGGACCTGATGCTGGAGATAGAGGAGGATGAACACAGGTCTGTGGGGTCTCAGGAGGAGAGAGCAGGGTGGGGTCCTGGACATCAGGACCCACCAGCACCAGCGGGAACCAGCAGGAACCCCCACCCTGGGCCTTTCCCTTAGGCCTGGCAGTGCCTGCTGGATGGGCAGGTGGCCCTGCAGAGCCCACACAGGACATGTCCAGGCTGTCCCTGGGACACACTCAAGGATCTGAACCCCCCACTCGTGCACCACCACCCAGCCCAGCTGGAGACCCGAGGTCCAGGCACAGCAGCAGCCAACAACATCCTTTGGAATGTCTTCCAGGCCATGCAACCCCCCAGCAGGAGCCCAGCAAAGAGCGGGGCAAAAGCCACCCAATCCACACCTCACAAGGGATTTCAGCCCCTTTCCCTTTCTCAGCAGGAGGACATCCCCAGGTTTTTGTTCCACCAGCTGAGGAGTCCTCTGGGAGTCAAACCCGGGTGAGATCAAAGCCCACAGGCTGAGACACTCAGGGTGTTTGCAAATCAGGAACAACCTCCATGTTTGGAGCACAGGACACAAATCCCTCAGGAACCATCCTTTGGGCATGGAAACCAGGCCTGAGTCCCCAGGAGGGAGGGTAAAACACAACCTGCTTTCCCAGCAGGATGGGAGGGATCCAGCCTCGTCCTTCAGAGGGAAGAGCAGCAGACGCACGTAAATGCTGCAGGCCTTCTATTTTTATACCTCTATTCAGGCCAGGATATTTAAGTACCCAAATTCACCTCAGAGAATATCACTACTACATTTAGTGCCAGACTTGCTAATGAAGATATTAAAAAAAAAAAAGAAAAAAGGCAAAACCCCCCCCGACCATCACCCAACACAACCCCAGGATGCCCCCGGGCTCCAAGCACTCCGTGTGTGCTGCTCCACCGAGGCAAAACTGGCCCCCTGGAACTTGGATAAACCACCCAATCTCATTCCCTAGTCAGAAGAAAGCCCTTTTGAAAGGACATGGGCCCCACTACTGCCTGATTTTCACAGGTTCCAGGAAAGGAAGGGGACAAGGAAGGTGTCTAATGATTTTCCACCTTCAGCATTACTGGAGGTGGCTCAGCCACTGTGGGGAATTCCATGGGGGTTGGTGGGTGGATGGGTGGGGCAAGTCCATGCTGAGTCAGCATCCTGTGCAGGATCTTTCCCTCCATCTGCTCCAGCAGCCCCAGACTAACCTGCTGTGGGTGTTGGTCCCAGGGCAGCCGGCAGAGCGAGTGGGTTCACCAAGGGGTTATTACTCAGCCCCTCAAATCCAGTGTCTCTGCCCCAGCAACAGCTCCCTGGGCTGGATGGAGCTCTGACCCAACCTCCAGCAGCTCCAGTGGTTAAAACCCTCGATGCCATTCCTGCCTGGGAGGATCTCTCAGCAGTCAAGGTGCAAAGCTGGCAGCTCTGATGCCCCAGAGAGAGCTCCTGTCAGGCAGCAGCAGGCAGGGAGCTGGGAAGACAAACTCCACCTTTATTACAGCTCTATTCGGGAGATCTGAGATGTCATTGATTTTCCTTCACCTGAGAACAGGAACTCATTTGCTCAACAAATGCCGGGAACGGCTCAGGCAGCACGTCCAGGCTGGGGAAGGGAGTGCAGGCTGGGCATGGAATGCTTTGGACAATGGCCTGGAATGACAGGACAAGGGGGAATGGCTTCCCAGGGACAGAAAGAAGGGATAGATGGGATACTGGGAAGGAATCCTTCCCTGGGAGGGTGGGCAGGCCCTGGCACAGGTTGCCCAGAGAAGCTGTGGCTGCCCCATCCCTGGAAGTGTCCAAGGCCAGGTTGGACAGGGCTTGGAGCAACCTGGGCTGGTGGAAGGTGTCCCTGCCCATGGAATTTTCCCCAATCACTCAGGGAAATGTTTACCAAACACATGAAGGTCCCACAACTCCACCCAGGTCTGGTACAGCCCTGGGCTCCCCCCCTGCAAAGCCAGAGGATGTTCTGTGCCCCCCCAGGACTCCCCACGCTCCCCCATCCATGATTTGTTATTTCACCCTCTGCAAAGCACCAGGCTGGGTTACTCTGGGAGGATTCCAACTCCCTATTGATCACCAGACTGCTGTTAATTAACTGCCCTAACGGGAACTGGCACCAAGGGGAACCTCCCACTCCTTGAAACCACAATTACAGGGTACGATCGACCGACAGCAAAACAGAGCCAGGGCTGCCACTGCCGTGCACAACAGTGGCTCTGCCCCACTGCCAATCCTGAGCTCCCAAACAAACACCTCTCCTTAGGAAATCCATGTTCACCCATGTCCCAGCTCACAAACGGGGAGGGGATGACCTGGGAGGCAGATGAGCAGGAAGAGACGGAAGTGTTGAACGAGAGGGGCTGCATCAGCCACGGTGGGGAGTTGCAGGGGGCTGCCAAAGCCACAGCACGAGCTGGTCCAAGGCCTTTCCTCCCTGTTCCATGCAAAGGAGCAGAAAGGGGCAGAGTTGCACCACCCAGCCCGGCACAGACAAGGGGCAACACCAACGTTCTCAGCACAAACACTTCGGCAACAGCGGCGCAGAGGAGGAGCCCGGAGATAACACCTTATCCACAGTCCCCTTGCCCTGCACAGCAGCAAATCCACCTCCCTGCACGGCAGAGCAGGAGGAAACGTGGGACAAAGTGGGGGCAGCTCACCCAAGGTCAGCAGAAACCTCCACCACAGCCCCCACATCTCCTCTCACCATGGGATTTATCAGCTCAGGATCCCTCGGCAACCCCTCGGCTCTGCCGGAATCCAACTCCTTCCGAAGAGATTAGAGAGTCACCACCTTTCCACTTTGATCCCTTCCCGTTTTCCCTGTGGAGAGCAGCTTCAGTTTAAACTGTGCAATTCCAGCAGTAGAATCATACAATTCCAGACTGGTTTGGGTTGGAAGGGACCTCAAGACCCACCCAGTCCCACCCCCTGCCACGGGCAGGGACACCTTCCACAGGTTGCTCCAAGCCCCGTCCAACCTGGCCTGGGACACTTCCAGGGATCCAGGGGCAGCCACAGCTTCTCTGGGCAACCTGTGCCAGGGCCTGCCCACCCTCACAGGGAAGGATTCCTTCCCAATATCCCACCTAACCCTGCCCTCTGGCAGTTTAAAGCTGTAAAACAGTGAAGTAAGTGCTGATCACACAGAAAGACCAGTCAGAGGAGTGATAGAAACACACTCAGAGCCCTCCAGCGAGGAGCAAGGAGCATCCACCCCCTCTGGAAAAACCAGAGGTACAAAAGCCAGCAGGTACCTGGTTCCTGGGCTGCTGCTCCTGCCCCAGAGGTTTTCCTGTTTTCCTCACTGGCCTGGACACGGAAGCAAAATGACTCCAAGGCTTGACCAGAGGCCACCTTGTTCTCCAGGGATTCGGGAGCCTTGCTGGAGCAGAGGGACCTTGCTGTAACAGCTCTGGACCACGGGGACGGAACCAAAACAGAGGCTTTTCTTCCCAAAACCACCTTTCCCAGTCAGGTCTCCAGCCCGGCTGCAGTTCCAGCATTAATTAGCGATCACTGATTAGTGATCAGCCTGATTGGCAGCAAACTCACACCAGGGAACCTGGAGGGGCTCTGGAGAGGCAGCTCTTGATGCCGCCTGCTAATGAAGTGCCCTTCAATTAAAGCAGCCAGAATTAGAAGCTGGAATCGCTTCCCGGCTGGAAGCAGCTCCCTGCTCCCCATGTGATCCACGGGACAGAGCCAAGGCTGAGGGAAGGGCAAGACTGAGCTACAAGGACTGGAACAAGGGCTCCCCAGGGCAGTTCTGTCACAGCTCCCCAACCCTCTCATCCCACAGCCACCTTCCCCAGATTCCTGCCTGGACACAAATCCAGCGAGGCAGCACTCCACGATCCCTCCACTGCTGTGGAGCCGTTTCAGGGGTGGCTTAAAGAAGGAATTCAGTCACCTGCAACACAACAAGTCTTCATTTTTATTGAGTTAGTAAGGTCTCCACTGATCCCGAGCTCGGTGAGCTACAGAAACCCTCCTGTCTCCCAGCCAGAGCAGCCTGTCCCGGGAAAGCGACGGATGGATCCAAGGAATCCCACGGACAGCGAACGAGCAGCGGGGCTAAGTCACGGCCAGATCTCTCCCGGCACAGGCCTTTGACATCAGCTCCCCCAATCCACCAGCTCGCTGGAGAAACCAAACCCAGGCACGGCGGGCGCGGGGCTCGCTTGGGACGGGGTTGGAAAAAGCAACAGGGCCGGAATATAAAGCAATACAATTTTAATTCTGACCAGTCACCTACAAACCCCCTTTTTGTCTTTCCAACTGTTCTGATGGCATTTGTTTAAAAAGCACATCCGTGACATCGCTTGGGAAGGGGGGGGAGTAAGGGGAGAGGGGGAAGAAAAAAAAAATGACACAAAGATACAGACATTATGATACAATAGTACAAATGATAAATTATTTATACAGTAAATAATGTCAATAAGTCAGCATAGAGTGGTAAAAAGCAGCCGGCTCCCGGGATTATGAAGAGTTTGGTAAATACTGAAACTTGTAACAACTTGTGAAGGAAGCGAGTCGTGGTGAGCTTCTGCTGTGAAAAATAAACCACCTGTTTCTCCACAACCTGTGCAATATTCAGACCTACAGTACACGTCAGAAACTGTAACAGCAAAGGGGGAGATGGGGAACCAGAGTTGTCTTGGTTACTCCAAAGAGACTGTGAACAGTACAGCCCATCACGCTTTTCCCTTCCCTGTCCCCTCCGTGGAGTTTAGGTTCTCTGTAGTATAAAACTGAATAAATAACTGAGTTTATTCAGGGGTAAAATTATGCCAAGGGTGATTGAGGTTTTTTAAGTTTTTTTTTTTACTATTTTACAAAATATTTAACACTTTTCTCTTTGGTCAATTTGACCAGTAAGGCTATTTTGGGCTACTAACATTAAAAAAAAAAAGAAAAAAAAAAAAGAAAAAAAAGCACTTTTAGTATTTTGCGAGGTGAGAAAAAGGAGGAGAGGAAGGGAAAAGGAGCCCCGTCGTGGTTTGTTGCGCCATGAAAGTCTCTCTCTCTCTCCATATTTAATGTGTATTTAATCAAAAGGAACACGGCTCTCGGAGAAGTGGACTTGGTAAAAGCAACAATTGGCCATTCAACGGTTTCATTAAGCCAGGGCTCCCTACCAGACCCACAGCACAGTTTTCTCCAGTCACGTCAATCATTTCATCACTTTAAATGCTCATTCTCAGCCCCACCTTTGCCTTTAAAGAGTTACCCAGGATGCGGTCAGGGCTTTTCGTGCCCCATCCAACTGCAATTCAGGTGACACACTAAGGGAAAAAACATCAAGTGACCTCCATTCCACTGCTGAGAACACCAAACTGGAAAAATAAATCTTGCCACAGATCAGCTGGAAAGCACTTTCCTCCCCCTCCCCACCCCCCATCTGCAAGAATCACACCCTTCCTGGTCTACACTTCTCAATAACTTCAACAACAACGAAAAGTCAAGTCTTTTTTCCTTACTCTGAAAGGCAACACGAATGGGTTTTTGTTTTTTTTGTTTTTAAAGACACACTGGATGTGGCCAGCGATTCTCTTCCCTCCTCTATAAAAAACAAAGAGCAGACGAATACTCGGGATCCTCCTCGCCCGTCCCACACCATCCAAAGGGGATCCCGCAATCTGCACAGGAACACCCACGCACCGAGCGCTCCGCACACCAACAGAGCTACCCCGACCTACACAGCTAAAAATCCGTGATTGTGCCCTACAGCTGATAGTCTCTCAATCCCCCTCTTCCCACCAGGAGACAGCTCCCCGTGCCTGTGGCAGCTCCCGGCTCCGGGACAACGGGACACACCACTCCGGTTCGTTGTTCTCCAGTTTTCCCTCCCCACAACCTCCTAACCGGGAAAAGCCGCCGAGATGCATCAATCCACGCAGAGATGCCCAGACATCCCCACCCACGGATATTTGGGGTGGATTTCGGTCTCCAGCAGAACCCCCGAGCGCGGGGTCGGTGCCGAGGAGTCCGGACGTGCCGGTTAAAAGAGGGACAAGTTGAGAGCTCTCCTGGTTTTTCCACGGGGTGAACCTTCCAGCGGGGATGGGGGGGGGGAAAAACAAGAGGTCAAGCCGATAAAATTAAACGAGTCGTGGTCTGCACGTTAGAATTTTTTAACAGCTCAAGAAGTGTTACAAGGAAAACAAAACAAAACAAAAAAAAAACACCACCAGCCTCTCTTGGGATCTTCATCAAGGCTAAAAGTCTGTCCAGTTTGAGGGCAGGGGGGTGTCGGGAAACGGGAACAAATCAAGGGAAAGGCGACTTTAGTGTTTTTTCTTTTTAATGTAGTCTTAAATCATGTTATGCTCAAATTCATTTCTTCTAAAAATAATTAGTCACGAGGATTTGTTTTTTTTTTTTGATTTGCACTATGAATATTTCATTTAAAAGTAAATATTTTAGTGTTAATCTTCCCTTTTAAACTCTCTTTACAGAAACAAAGAGCTAAAACCATAAATAAGAGGGCATTAAAACCATAAAAATGACATTTGCCAATATCTTAATTTTTTTCAGCCAGACTTGATAAATCTATCAAAACCAGACAGTTAAATAAGAACCACATTATAAAAATTAGCAAAAAAAGGACTATTAGGTAACTCTGCAAACTCAAATATGAAACTGTACTAAACAAAATATGTGCAAAAGTATACAAGAGTAACTGCATATAGCAAGGTTAAGCCTGAATTAGTTTTAAAGCTTGCCCCGGTGAAACTGAATTCAAAGTTGTCCCACTGTAATTCTTTTTTTTTTTTTTTTTTCTTTTTTTTTTTTTTTTTTTTTTTTTTTTTTTTTTTTTTTTTTTTTTTTTTTTTTTTTTTTTTTTTTTTTTTTTTTTTTTTTTTTTTTTTTTTTCTTCTCTCCTTTTCTTTCAACTCACATTGTAAGTCAAATAAAAACAAAATACACATGAAAAACTTCCAAAGAAGCTGGTACTGGACAAGCACAGAGCAGGACACTCACTCAGCACGAGTGCAGCCACTCACAGAGAGTTCCAGGAGTCCTTAAGAGTAGTGTACAAATTCAACACTGCACGACAGCACACGGCATATCGACAACTCGAGCATGTTCTTGGGTGTTTAGTCTGGGGGGGGGGTTTGTGTTATTTTCCTTTAGAGACAAGCTTGTTTTCTCGGGTCACACCTCGGATACCAAAAGCAGTGCGAGTTTGCAATGTTTAATGCATAAAAAAACCAGCCACCTGGGCCCCCTCCGGATCGTTCTGGTCTAAGAGTAAGGACTATGGGTGAACCAACAGTCTAGAACTGTGTGTAGTTATGTGCAAAACATTCACTAGCACTCGGAATCTCAGGTCTATCATATGGGCATAGGAAGTGACAGATGCAGGTAAATAGTAAATTTCAGGATCCAGCACATGATCTGACATCTACAAAATAGCCAACGGAGTCTAAAATGGCAGGTTTCTCTCCCTAGAAAGTGTATTGAAATGATTAACAAAGTAACAAAATGGGCAGAATCTAACTTTGGTGAAAAAGTCTGAACATTTTCACATGATGCTCAACAAGCCAAAGTAAGGTACCATCTGTAGCAAAGACTAGATTTTTTTTTTAGATTAACTGGTAAGTAGAGACAACTCTTCAAAGATCATAACTGTAAACTGCAAATCTACTTCCAAGTCTCTCACACACCGTTCAGTCCACACAGGCCACGTTCGTTCCGCTGTAAAGACTTCAGCCTGGAAACACTAGGAAAAGAAAAGTTCCTTTAATTGGGTCTTTATAGGAGGAAAGGGTTAGTTGTATTTGCAGACTGGGAGGCTGACGGCGGGATTCCTGTACTGTGGAGAGGTTGGGGCATTGATCCTGCAATGCTCAGCCCCTGGCCCATCCTGCTGATCGAGGCCACGCTGCCCATCGCCGGGATCGGCGCCATCCCCACGGGCACGGGGGCCCTGGAAGACAGAGGTATTGGCTCCATGCTCATGGGGGGCACGGCACTGAAGGAAGGGCTGCTCCCCATCACGGGACTCGCTCTCATCTGGTTCAGGGTGAGCGGCTGAGGCTGATTCACTTGGAAGGGGTTGATTGGAGTCGGGGCTGTGGCGGCGCCTGGTTTGAGGGGGAAGAGGGAAAGAGACGGCGCTGACATCACCAGAGATCTGGAAATCATCTCTTCTGGCCAAGAATGCACCTTTGGTTCATTCCCACACACTCCCAAAACCCAGAACACCCCAGGGTGAACCTGCCTGGGTGCCATTCAGCAAATTCCCCAGGGCACCAGTACAGGCTGTTTCCTTGAACACATCAATCCCACAAAACATCCCCTCCCTGACCAACAGTTTCCCCTTCTGACAGTACTGACCAGAGAGAGACGTCCCAAATTTGGTCACCTGGGACATGCCCAACCATGACATCCAGGTGTCCAATTTTAGCTTTTAAATGCTATTTAAAATTTGCACTGGGGAAGAGACCTGCAGGCCCTCTGTGCTCCTTTACTGCAGATTAAACTGACAGAGAGCAGGGTTTGGATATTGGGAAGAAATTCCTTCCCTGTGAGGGTGGGGAGCCCCTGGCACAGGTTGCCCAGAGAAGCTGTGGCTGCCCCATCCCTGGAAGTGTCCAAGGCCAGGTTGGACGGGGCTTGGAGCAACCTGTGGAAGGTGTCCCTGCCCATGGCAGGGGGTGGAATTGGATGATCTTTAGGATCCCTTCCCAACCATTCTGTGATCCTCTGATTTGTACATTTGCCTCACAACCTCACCAGCCAACTCCATTTTCCTGTTTCTGGCACCGAGTTTGGACAAGAATTCACAAAGTAAACAACTTGTTTCCGAATTGCAGCGGTGCTAGAAAAAGCAGAGAACAACTTTCCCAGCGTTTGAGGTTCCCTGGATTGCTGCCAAGCCTGCAAATTCCTTTCCCCGTCCATGCACGGCGTTATTTGGATGGCCCAGTGACCCCTCACAAACTTTCTGTAGTAACCGGTAACGGCAGATACACAGATTTCCTCTCAGCACTCACTGCCAAGGCTGCTCAGAATCACTGCCTTTTTCCTGCTCAAGGAGTTTAATAAAATGGCGTTTTGCCCTTTTTTTTTTCCACTGGAAGAGTGAAAAAAAAAAATCGATACTGAAAGGGAATTTCAGGGTGTTTCAACCATATGAGCAACACGAGGAAATTTCAGGACATGTTTCAGCTTTTAAAAATTATGTGTTCCACTTGTTTGGTGTCACCATTTCAGTCTGTGCCAGACTAAAGGAAGCCTGACCAGCAAGCCACTGAATTTTGCTCTCTGGAACCTCAGATAATCTGGAGAGAGCAAGGGCAAAAGGGAAACTGCTGGAACTGAGTTTAGCTGCAGACAAAGAGCAGAAAGTCTGTGCTTTCAGGGACTGTCACTATGCTGGGCGAGTCCAGGATGCCTCTGTGAGACCTTCCTGCTCTCAGCCACGATCTGCTGCCTGAAGCAACCAAGAAACACCCAAAACTCCTTCCTCTAAATCCACCAGGACTGAGTAATGCACAGTTTTCCTACAGGGAGGGAAAGCTAAACCAGAAACGTGAAGGGCTGTGCAGACACAGACCTGGTGCCAAGAACGGATTCAGCGAAGTAACAGGTTGTGGTGGCTTAGACACCAGAGAATCCAGGTTCACCAGAGCAGCATTGGGGCCCAGGAAGGACTCCGGGGTTTTCCGAGCTGCACTTTGCTTTCCTGATGTCCCACTCGAGTGCTGGGAATCAAAGAGATCGGGACTTGTGGTACCGCTGTGCTGAGATGGCAGAGTGGAACCTGATTCAGCTGAAACAACACAAAGGGACAAACAAAACTGCCCATTAATCCACACAGCCAACGCAGAGAGACAGCCCTGAAGTGTCTGACAGCAGGAATGTTTAGTTCTAACGCTGGGATTAGTCAGGCTGGAGTGTGTCAGGGCCACCCTTAGCATGCAAGCAGACAAATGTTCTGGAGGAGAGCAGGAGAAAGCTGCGGTCAGAGGTGCAGAGCTCTGCTGAAGGCGCTCCCTGCTTTGCCCTGATGAGCATTCCCACAGCTCTGCTGCTCCACGGGGGACTCAGAGGCTCCAAGGAAGAGATACTCCAAAGCCTTGGCTCCTGCCCTTGCCCTACACCACTGCTGTGCCCTTCCTAGCTGGATTCCCCCCAGGTTTGATGTTCAGGAAGCCCAGCTGGGCATTAGTCACTGTTCCTGCAGGCAGAACCATCCTGAGAGCACCGGGTACCACAGCCCTGGCACTGAGGGCCTGGCAGTTTGGATTTAGTCGCTAATGGCCAAAGGAAAAATAATTTAGAGCATCCATAGAAGTGTATTTTCTCATCTTCCTACCAGAATTTACACAGGAGAGGAATTCAGTCAGCATGGTTCTGTTTGACCCTCGGAGCACAAGCCCTGCTCCAAACTCGTTGGATACTGGAAATTTAAAATCCAACCCAATTTCTGGGTCAATGCAGCCAGAGGTTACAACACAGTGCAATTCTATGGATTACAGTGCAAAAGGCCCATTCCCCACAAGTCCATGCACAGGCCAAAACGTGAACAACAAGCTCTTTACTGCTGCATTACCACCAGCTTTAATCCTCCCCTTTGTGAAAGCTGATTTTTTTTTTTTTCTAATAAAATGTAGTAGAGACATTTGTTTGCTGTGACTGTCACCCAACCTGTCCACATGCTAAGAACTGGATTCGTACCTGGCTTTTTGGAAGTTCGGAGTGTGTCAAATTCAGAAAAATCATCTTTAACTGTACCATTCAAATTACTGAAGAGGTCAAAAGATGTACTTCCTGTTCAAAACAACAAGACAGCCCTGTCATTAACACATCTTCGGTTGCATCCCACACCTGATCCTCCTGGAAGCAATTCCTAAGCCATTTGTGTTACCAAGAAGCCACTGCTGGGCTCCAGGGCAGCAGTTGGAGTGGTCCTGGAGTTACCCAGGAGCTGGGAGAAGGATAACGTCAGAAAATTGTCCTTTCTTACAAGATTAAACAACTAATTCAGAGCAGTTTGCTTTTGAATCAGTGTAGGGCACACCTTGAGCATGCTGGGGTTTGGCTGATTGTCTGCACTAGAGAAAGCAGAAGGAGAAATGGATTTACAGCTTGAACTACCAAGTGTTAATCAGCCCCTCAAGTAAAACACATTCTGAACAGAGTTCCAAAGGCAAATTTAGCACTGTTACGGCTTCAGTGATGATTTGACTTGTGCTTCCCAAGAGAAAAGGAGGAGAAATGCAATAGCAAAGGTTGCTGAGATGGCAAAGCCCCGTTAGCTGAAGCACCAGCACTTGCCCAGAGTTCACACCCACTGAAAACATCACCATTTCCAAATTCCACGCTCTTACCTCAGAGTGGAGGCAGCAAACCCAAACCCAAGTGACCAGCAATCACGCTCCTGAAAAGCTTTAAAGTTTGTGTGGCAGGTTTTTGATTTTTTTTTTAATTAGTTGAAATGCTTTTCTAATTTAGTTTTCACCTTCAACGCATTTCAAGCAAATGAAGGTCCAAAAAGAGCACAAAAAGACAAAACCCCCCGAGAGAACAAGTGATGATTAAGTATAAAAACAATGCCTAAGAAGAACAAAGTTAAAGGCTGGTTCTCACAACGATCCAGTTATTGCCCTTTGCCCAGTGGAAAGCTGATTAGACAACTTTTAGCAGTACTCAGATTCCTTTGTTTGTTATGAAGGGCTGGCAGAAAATGCATTTGGGATGCATTTAGCCACGGTGCTGATATGAAAATAGCAGGTATTAAGGCTCATCAAGGTTGCATTAGTTACAGAGCATGACCAGACAATTCCATCAGCACCCTGGTACCCAGGGCTCACTTCACACCCTGGGTCTGAAGGAACAAACCTTCATTTGCACCTCCAAAAGCGTGGAGCTGCTCAACCTGTCAATCTACATCTGCAGAGACATCATATCTGCAGAGCTATTTATCATGATGAAAGCTTAAATTATAGGATCATTCATTGCCAGAAATTAAGTCCTTGTCTAATTAAAGATAAAGCCCAAGAGTAGCAGCAGTCCCGAGGGCTCAGCAGGCAGCCACGAACACCAAGAGGAGAATGTGGAAGGGACAGAGCACGAAGCAGCTCCACGAATTCAGGGCTCTAAGTCAGAATAATTACATTTGATTTTCTTTTTCCTGCCAGTTATTACAACTCCCTTTTATTTTACAGGCCAGTTCTGCACGTTGTTCAGCTCTGAACCACACAACGCAGGAACATCGTCGGGATTTCTCCTCACTGCTCAAAGAACACGAGACTGTTCCTCACCAGAAGTAGAGAGAGGTTTGTTTGCAGGAGCTGGTCCCCAGGGATCCACAGGTTTTGCTGCAGTAGAAGATGACTGAGCAGGAGCCCAAGGGTCATTTTTGGACAGAGGCTGAGCTGTGGATCCTGCTGGTGCTGCCCAAGGGTCAACGGAAGCAGCTGGTTTGGCACCTGCAAAAAGAGTCAGCGGGAAGATCAGTGAGTCCAGCTTCCCTTTGGAAAGCTTTCCTGCGAGATTAACCTCTCTTATGAGCCTTTACTGCCAATTAACACTGAACATGAACAGGTGAAGCAGTCCAGCACCAGGAACACTGATAACTCCCAGTATCCATGTCACACGCCCTGAACAACAAGCACCAGGAAATTCTGTGCAAGGCAGAGGAATAAACAAATCCCTCCCCTTTGAAACTGAATAAAAATATCTGCAGTTCCAACAAGAAAATAAACTGGCTTTTGTGACAGACATTTCCACCCCAACTGACAATACCTGACTGGAGGTGACCTAAATCACAGGGTCTATTTGTGAACTCGGGGGAAAGTTTATAAAAAGCCCAGAGGTAAAAGGTATGAGATATAAAACACACCTGGAGAAAGATACCTAAGACGCAAAGGGAATGTTTTCCATCTCTTTTAACCACCCTGTTATTTTTCAAAAACATAATCGGCTTCCCTGAGCCAGCTGTGCTTTTTCATTCCCATGTGTAAGCACTCCTGACACAGATCTGAGCTTCCCACTGATATCCTTATTTTATTTTTATTTTTAACCCAAAGCCTGTATGTTCAGGATTCTCATTTTTATTGGAAATCTGTGACAACTCTTCACTCCCATAAACTCAATCACCAAAGTGCATAAATGCCCATCTGCAGTGCTGGGTTTTGTTCCATCAGCAGGGCCCGTGGTCTCGCTGCAGCTCCGCATCAGGAAATGCCAAAACCCTCCAAGGAAGCCCAACTATTCCCACGTCGGTACTTACACTTCCTTTATCTGCCCTCAGTGCTGAGTTACAGCAATGCCCCACCAGAAATGCTAATGACAGCATTTCCCATCAACTGCAGCTTCCCAAAATGTCTTTTCCTTCATAAAAGGGAGCGCAGGAAATGAGAGCGTTTGGGAAGATCCCTTCCCGGAGCTTCCATCAGCTCCACTGGAACACCACAGCCCATGCAGGACTTGAGAAATACCATTTAATGAGTCACTCTTTTCATCAGAAAACTCCTAAATCTTACATCTTCAGGACCATCCTTGGGAGCCAAGAAACCAGCAAGCTGGAATACGGGGTTGTGCTGTGGTGGAACAAAGTTGGGAGGCAGTGACAAAAAACACTACAGCCCAAAAGTGATGCAAGGAAAATGCTGTCAGAGGGTGACAGATCAAGCAGGAGAATTGAAGAGAGCTGGATTTTGTTTGGTTTTAACGATGGAAAAATACACTGAATAGCCTTAGGGCCCAAAACTTGGGGCTTGTTCCGATTTCCTGTCACCAAAAGAGAAACAAATGACACTTAGAACGATGACCTGCAGCTGGCCCAGCAGCTTTGTAGGTTCCTTAAATGCCACCACGAGGAGGGGGAAAAACCCCAAACAAGGCATTTCATTATTAAACTTCAACATTTTCATCAGGAACCTGATGGTGTTGCGTTGAATGCCGATGTAAACGACTCTGAAGCACTTTAAGGAAGAGGCTGTACAACCATCAGCCTGAAGCAGAACAGACAGAATGCCCACACAAAAACCCAGCTGTTTGAAAACCGTGAAATTTCCATTTGTTTCTGCTTGGAAATGAGTTGGGGAACGTCAGTTCTAGACTCTGGGAACCAACCAAGATGGACTAATACCCAAGAGTGACACCAGACACGGGAGGAACTTTGAAAAAGCTCAACATCAAAAAGCAAAAATCCTTTAAAAACAACATTTCCCCCCCCACCCCAGGCACTTTTCTTCTTACCAAATGATTGCCACGGGTCAGAGGCAGGAGCTGCCACTGTGGATCCCCCCCAGGGATCAGTTTGGTTTGCAACAGCAGGAGGTCCCCAGGGCTCCGTTTTCGGCGGGGCCGGTGCCGAGGAGGGCAGGGCGTCCATCAGGTCCAACAAAGTGGTGTGCTGAGGGCAGGAATAATCTGAGCTTTAATCAAGAGCATTGTCACTCTGAAGTACAAACCCGTGAGAGTGAAGAAGCAATTATTATTATTATTCTTTCTTTTTTTTTTTTCCTTTTACACACCTGCATTGACTAGCAGCTCGAAATTTAACCCACACGGAAGAAGCTTTTAAGCTACACAACAAAGCAATCCCAAAAGCATAAAAGAGCTCAGTATTAAGCTATTTTTGTGTTACTGTATCTCAGCTTTTGGCAGCATGACCGGGAGTTTCTTAGTCGAAGGCACTACCTCCTTCTTTTTGGGAATTTTAATTGTGTCTCTGCGACTCTCCTCCAGAGCCATCTGTAATCTCAGATCATCTCCGCGTCTGAGGCGCTCCTCCTGCAAAGGAAATCAACACTGGTGATATAGACCATGAGCCTGCACTGAGCTGCTGCTCCCTCCAGGAATCCAACCCCTGGGCAGGAAGGCCTGGCCAGCCCTCCCTGCCACCCTGGCAGTGCTGGTGGGATCACTGGCTGCAATTTGGACACAGTTGAGTGAGGGGAGAGGAATTTTCTTGTGGTTCTTGCCTCAACCAGAGATGGGGGAGCACCCCGACCCTGCGACACCAGCACAATCCAGCTGGCTGATTGACATTTACCCTCGTGTTGTTTTATTCCTGATGGGAATATAAAATGCAGCAATCTCTCCAAAATTCAGTTGGCAGGTACAAACACCACAGAACTTCGGGTAAACAGCCCCTCTGTAAATTGTCACCAAGATTCTGAACCGCTGGAGGTCGTAGGGAACTGAATTGTCATTGCCCTGGCTGTTCTCAGCTTCCCTCCACGCTGATACAAGTGTTGTAAAGAACACCAAGGGAATCAGTTGAGCCAACTCCATGTAATTTGAAGGTTTAAACATCTGTAAACTGCACTGTTTGTGGTACATTCAAATACTTTCAGTGTCTCTGCTTGCATCACATCTGTCAGAAGTTGACTAATCCCCCAGCTGGTATTTCCCTTGTCACTTTTCAAGCTACTTCAACTGATTAGATTCTGATTTGTATTTTCTTTCCCTTTATTGCTCAACAATGATACAGTGTACTGGGTGATAGTTTTCCTTTCCAAGCACAGAGATACCCATGCTTAACACGCAGCTTAAGCTAAATTGTCACAGGAAGCCTCTGAAACATTACAGACACTCAGCAGGGATGACTTGAATTTTCACTCAAGCTGAGATTCAACTTCGTTATATATTAACATGCAGCAAACTTTATCCACAATTATTTATCCATCATTTGCTCCAAATTCAAAATGAACTTCTTAAGAATTAGCACAGCAACATAACTCAGGTGACAGATTAGGAATCAAGTTACTTTAAACCAGGTTCTTTATATACTCTGGTACTTTGTGTCAGGTCACCCTCTTAATTCCAGACACTCTCACCAAACAACCAGACCATTCAAAATTCCACTGGAATCAGAATTCACTGGCATTAATGAAGGTTTTCAGGACCAGTCATGTTTCCAGTTCTTCCTAACTGAAAACATCTTCAGTAACGTGCTGATTAACATCCTCCCACACAAAGTCTTCTTGCAAAGTGACTGTCATCTTCCACTAGTCTCAAAACAGCTCGGAGGCTGAAGTTACTTTTATAAAAAGAGACTTAAAAAATATAAAAAAACACAACCAAAAATAATAATAATAATAATAATAAAAATATACAAGAAGCAACATCTTCCAAAAGACGGAGCTTTGGAGCAAAGCCAAGCTGCCATTGGGGGGGACAAAATAAATAAATAAATAAATAAATAAATAAATAAATAAATAAATAAAACAAAACCCCAGGATGGTAATCTCAACTATCAAAGGCAAAACCTACACGGGCACCGACCTGCTCCGCCACCTCCCGGCTCATGGCCAGCGCCAGCTGCAGCTGCAGCTCCTCCTCCCCGCTCGTCTGCGGCCGCGCCTGCTCCAGCTCCGAGGACACCCGGGGGGACGTGGCTGTTGGGAGACAAAACCCACCAAATTTAGCAGGTCAAACGACAAGAAATGTGGCAGGACTGATTGGTGCTCTAATAGAATTTTATCCTCCACCCTCCCCCTCCCCTTCCATCGCCGCCCTCCCGGCTGAGGGGAAGGAACCAGCCACAACAGTCAAACGGTCAGGTGGTTTAAAGGACAAATATTCCCAGAAAACAAGGGGCTGTAACATCTACAAGGACTTTGGGGGCAGGACACCGACTTAAAAATGCAGGGAATTAATTGTTCAAGAGGACATCTGTTGGTGTTTCTTAGGTCTCCCCACCTCACTGCTGGGAGTTGGGCAATCTCGGGGGAAAACTGGATACCACCCACTTTTCTGTAAAATAATACAGTCCTAATGGCAAGATAAAGAACTGTTCTTAACTGCTGAGCAGGCTGAGGGACAAACAAGCCAACCATTCAGACACCAAATTTACACAAATACCGGATCATTCTCTGTTAAGAAAGGGTTTGGTTTATGGGTTGGGGGCTTTTTTTTTGGCTGAAGATTTCTATTAGCTGAGCTCTAGGTTGTGATCTCCCCCCCCCTCCTCGAGCAACACTCGAGCTTGACAGCTAAAATATGCAATTTCTCAACATACAAACCATCTTTTCTCGATGTTTTCACGACACCAACGTGCAGAAATTCCCATCCCAATGGGACAACATTAGTAGGTTTAGCACTGGACAGTAACTAAACATTTTTTTTTTCTGCTCACTCTCACAGATAAATCTCTAGCATCAAATCATTCACACAGAAATTTTATCTCAGTTTGGCAAGGAAGCTTGCAGTCAAGGGCTGGAATGATAATTAGCTTGGCAAAATATACATTGACATTTAATACAGAGGAATCATGTTTTTAAACTAGCATGGCAAGGTCTAAGAAACCCAGTTCCTTCTTAGCAGGCCAGCTGGGCGTGTTTTGAGATTGCCAAACTACGTTGAAAAAGCACTTTTTTCATCCCTGCTTTAATCCTCCAAACACTTGCCAGTGTCTCCTCTCCAAAATGACATTTCAAAAGGAGAAGTGCAACTTCCTCTCTCATCCAACAGGCCCCAAGGCAGGTGACTGGTTCTAAAGGGACAAATTAATTTATCCCCCAGAACGATTCCCCCAAAGCTGTGCTGGTCCCGAGGCTCTCAAGCCAACCAGACAAGTCCTTACTCATACCTCTCAATTCTATTACTTTTTCAAACTTTTTCATATAAAATAACCAAATTTAGCCTCTTTGCCCCACCAGTCACAGCCAGGCTGTCCAATATGGACTATTTAAAACAATATAACTAAAGCATGTGAGAATTCCCAGCCAGCAGAGGTCAAACATCAGCACTCGTTCTGGTCACTCAAATGCAAGGTGGGTGATTTCAAACCAGAATGGAGGTGGAAACACTTCCCTTCAGAGCACGGAGATTGTTTTTATGTGTTTATCTTCGCCAAAAGAAGATTGAGCAGTTTATGGTTGTTAAACATAACCAGGCTTGCAAACAGCACAGAGTGAGAAAAGCTGTTTAAGGCAAAGGGGCAAGAACTAATGGTGTAAACTGGCCATGAACAGATTTGAGAGACAAGCAGAGAAGAGCAGTTTTCCAGCAGGGAATAAGAGAAGGAAAGAGTCATAACCGGTTGAAAACCAGAGCTGGGTAAGCGTGGACACCAAGAGAGTCACCTGAGAGCGGATGGACCTGGACCATGAGCAGGGAGGCACCTTCTGGTCCTCCAGATTTTTAACTCCAAATCTGGGGGGGAAATGGGATTTCCTGCACTTCAGCTTTTCCATCCCTGTTGGTGTAACTGCATTCCATAACAACTAAGAAGCTGATGGCACAGCAACTTTAAAATTATATGAACTTGGTTCATTCTGATGGATCTTCCTGCCATTTCCACAGGAAGGACTTGCTGAACACACTCACCAGTTGCAGCTTTTAGCAGCTCACGGCCCTTCTGCCCGGAAAAAAAGCTGCAAGGAGCGGGAATTGCATCCCACTGGCCCTCCCCTGGTGGGTCCTCACCTCCCAGCCATGCACAGGAAGGGCTGGATTGCTTTGGCAGGGAGCTCCATGAGCTCACAGCTCCCAACAGAGCCCAACATCAGCAGCTCCAGGATCTGAACACGGAGAATAACGGGGGTCTCAAGGACAGGAATGATTTCTTTTCAATTTTAAGCTTTCCAGCAGTTCATTCCGCTTGGTTTCATTAACTCTAAAAGGCACTTCCAAACTCCTTTTCAAAAGAAAAAAAAGGAAAAATGCCCATTTGAAATTCCTCCGTGGGCCTCATTTTTAAAAAAAAACACCCCGAACTATAGGAATGTTGCTATTTTACATTTAAACCTCTGCAGTGTTATAAACCCACCTATATTAAAGAGTTGCCAGCAAATTGTTTGAGAAAGGATTAAGGAAAATTCAAAACACTGTTCCTGGGAGTAACCTGACGTGTTCCATCCAGCAACTTCACTCCTGTCTGGGCCTCATCCTGCACCAAGGTCTGAATTCCCAGGATCCAGCAGAAAGGTTCTTGCCTCGGTGACAGGATCTCTGGCACACAAAGCATCCCTTATCCCCCAGCACATGACAGTTAACTCAGATGTTTATGTAAGATGGGCCTCAATAGATCAATTCTGACCTGGCTAAGCCCTGCTTTGTTGGGAATTTGGAGATCCCAGGCCCTCCAGGCTGCCCGGAAGCAAAACCGGTGGGAATCTGCTCCTGCAGGGCTGGGAATCATCTCCAACCTCAGCTAATCACTACAGCAGGATCCTGCTCCACCATCGGTGCCCAGGCCAGGCTCTGAGGTCTTTCAGACACGTGTATTGATAATTTCTGATATTTTGGCAGTGTTAAAAGCCCTCTGCAGATGTCGATGGATGTGGCTGATTGAAGTGAATGTAAAGGACACGGAAAGCAGAGTCACTGCCTGCATTAATGGCACAAATCACTCCCAGCACACAAGTCAGGCTCTGCATTTCCCTTCAGAAGGCTGTGCTGGGGGTTTGGGGTTGGTTTTGTTATTCCTGGGGTTTTTCTTTTTCTGATTTGCAGGTGGAATTCTGAAGAACAGACTCTTCACTTCTCAGTCACGTCTATTCAGAGAGAAAAGCTCCTTCCTCACTCAATCAGTGCACCCACAAATGGTGACAAAACCAAGGCTGACTTGAAAAATCAGATTAATATCAAGGTAAGAAGTCAGAAACCAACAGAATTTCCTTTAGGAACCAAGCAGAGATCCCATTTGTCACTCTTCCAATGAAAGACCCCTCAGCTAAAGGTGGGATACGTTCACAAAGCCAGTCCAGCCTCTCAAATGATGGAAAGGCAAACTGCTTCATCTAGGAGGAATCATGTAATCCACCTTTCCGCTGGGAATTAAAGCATCTTTCAGACACAAGAGGGGAGTTACTAACACCTCTGAGGGTGACAAGGTGGAGCTGCTCAACCCTCCTGCAGGACTGAACTGTACTGAGCAGACTTCTGAAATTCATGGAACCCTGAACAAATCCTTAAGGTTTGCTTTGGTTTCAGGGGCATTTTCCTCCCAGGTGATCCCCACATCCCTCTGAACAGACAGAGCTGGATGATTTAGTGCCACTACAGGAGCCTGGATACACCACTGGCACTTCCCACCTTCACCCAGAGCACCAGAAAAAGAGATGTATGATGAGGGAATTTAATCAAGTTGTCAAGTGACATCTGACAGGAGTCTGCCACATTCAACACCTCAAACTCGTTGCTGGATGATATTTCCTGACTAAGATGGAAGGGCAGATATATGTTCCAACCTCTAAATTATTAAAAACTTGCAAATTATTAAATAAAATGTAAAAACCCTTTAAAAACAGGAGCACTCTGAAATCTGAATGGTACAGGGTGCCCAGAGAAGCTGTGGCTGCCCCATCCCTGCAAGTGTCCAAGGTCAGGTTGGAGCAACCTGGGATAGTGGGAGGTGTCCCTGCCCATGGCAGGGGGTGGCACTGGATGGGCTTTAAGGTCCCTTCCCCAAACCAGTCTGGGATTCTGTGGATTTCCTATCATGACAAACCCAAACCAGCAATTCCTCTGATTTACTTTCTACTCCAAGTTAGAGTGGAGAGAAAACAGCTGAGTGAACACGAACTTGCTGAGGCTGCACAAAACTGCTTTTAAATAATGAGTCAACTCAATACCAACAATCACTGGAAAGACTAAAAACTCATTAATTCACCTGAAGAAAACTGCTCCTAGACTCTGTACAGGTCAGGTTAACAGACCTGGCATTCCCCAAGATCCATAAAAGCCCTTTGCAGCCCATCTTTCACCAATTTTTTCCTCAATCAGGCTGTGAGCTGAGCTGAGCTGAGCCCACCTCGGGGCAGTGCTGCTCTGAAAGCAGGTCACACGTTTGTGTCAATGAAATCAGGGCATTAAACCCACCCCAGCCTGGATCTCCAAAGCGTGGCTTCAGTAAACTTGGGTTTAAAACACCACCAGCACCTCCCAGGCTCGAAACACCATCCCAGTTCAGGCTTAGGAGGTCTATATTAAGCACACCCTACTTTTCCCTGGGCAGCCACAAATCCAGAATCCTATTTAAGTGGTCACTGGCAGCTGCAGATGAAACAAGGCCGGCAGCAGGAGGTTGAAGTTTTCAAAACTGGGTGACTGATGTCAAGCATAAAGACAATTATTTAGACACACAGGAGTGAAGAGATAACTGCTCCAAAAGATTTCAGGTATCCACTTGATACCCCTTCCTCTCCCCAGCAGGTTTGGATTCAGCACCACACAAGAACACTCCTCCACAGTGAAACCAAACCTGACATCAGATGTCATGCAACTCCAGAGAATTTACACGTTTCCCCCAAAAGAATAATAAAAAAAAAAATATTATGCATTTTGGCATGGGATGTTTCATAGCTCCTGATCTGAGCATTAATTGCCAACTGGAAGATAAAACCAATTGTTCCCAGTATGTCAGAAACTGTTGACAAGGAGATTCATTTCTGCTTTTTGCTTTAGTATCTCCCTTGGCTTCCACTTACAGGTTATGAGACTAAATAGCAAAAATACACCAATAATTTCACATTCTCTCACCAAGACGTACTCCCTGGAATCATCCAAGCACTGAGACCTTCAGGGCCAACCAAGTCATTAAGGCAAAGCTTTGGGGGAAAGGATCTTATTAAAAACTCTGATGTTTCCCCATTTCACATCCCCCCATTTCTAAAGGGCTGTTAGAGAGGAGATGAAAACACCCACGAGGAAATGGGGAGAAATGTCCTTATTTGCCAAGTCTTGCCTGCAGCAGTGAGGGATGATTGTTCAACAGTCCAGAGATCCCTTTCCACCCTCAATTCTCTCCCAGGCTGTAAGTGCTGCTTTTATTGTTCCATAAAGGATAAGTTTGGGGCACAATGACCGGCAAGTCTTTAAGAAAACCCTCTCTAGCTCAACATCAAGTACAAAATCCACCAGTCAGATCCAAACCCGCAGGTGTTGAGAGGCTGGGGAGGAGCAGGAGAGGGAGCACTGCAGGGTTCAAGCTGTGCAGTGCAGCTGATTCAACATCAAACCCAAAAGGGGTCACTGACTTATCCAATATTGAACTTCCAGGAAGGGACAGAAAGGGAGGAGCTCCCTCAGGCACAGTCCTGTCCCCCCAGTGATCTGTCCTGGAGGAACTAACCCACCTCAGGCTTCGTTTCTGCTGCAAGAAAAGTCTCAAAAATGAGATTTTGCATCTCTCCAATTAAGGGGAATGCATTCCCAAAATCTGCAATCCCCACTAACGAGGAACAAAAGCCAAACGTGCTGATGCCAAAACCACTGAGGGACGGAATATTTCATTTAGTGATGTTGGTAAAAATGCTGTTAACTCTCCCAAACTTCACTGCTATCTGACTGATGAGGAGACACGTGAGAAATTTAGCAGAGAGGAGGGAAGTACATTTTTAAGAGGCAAACCTCATGCTATAGATTGCAAATCTAAATGTCTCTGATCTCCTCTTCAAAGGCTCAGAGGAATGAAAGAGAATTCTGCCAGAATATACAGTGCAGCAACCACATCTACAAGGAGAGTATTTCCCAGCAGCCAAGCATAACTTAATTCCTTTCACATATTTCATACTGAACCCATCTTTACAGAACAAAAGGAGGTTATCACTTAAAAAAAAAATAAAACAGGATGCATACAATCTCGTTCACTTTAAATAACGAAAAGCATCTTTTCCATCAAATTTAGAAGGCACAGGAATAACCCCACATTGATGTAAGGGATTAAATGTCTGGATTTTAATGAAACTCCTTCCTGGTTTCCTAGGATAAAGCTCTGCCCAGTTTGCCACTACCAGAAGTATTAACCCAGCTGTTCTGAAAGGTGCTGCCTCGCTTTCTGCTCTGTGTTCAAATAAACCTGACAAAAACACATGAAAACTTCAAAATGCAAAAAACTGACAGTGTTTGGGCTGAGCCACTGTGAGGAGTCCAGGAGAGGCCACAACAGAGGAAGAACTGAGGTTGAGGGGGGAGCGGGAAAGAAGAGCCTGAGATTTCTAAAGCTTCTTAGGTCTGTGCTCAGCGGGGAGGAGGAAGAAAAGCTTAAGAAATCATTACCTCAGAAGCAATCCTGCCACACAGGGGAACGGGAGCATCCACTAAATCCACACTTTGCACTGAAAGAACGGCCCAAGTTGCTGCTTCTCCCCAGGAACAGTTCAGGAACACACCCTGCATTGCTGGCACGAACAGTTGGGAGCCTCTGGCAGCGTTTGAGGTGCCAAACAAGAGTTCCAGGCACTGATTAAAGGCAGGAGCTGGTGAGACAATCACCCTGTGGAAGCCCAGGTGTGCTCAGCATAACTCAGTCCCTCAGCCCGAGTTAAAAAGGGTATTTCAAGCTACATCCTAAATGAAGGAATTTTTGTGGTAGTTAAGAGTGATTTACAGACTTCAAAAGAGAAACAGGTTGTTGTTGTGGTAACAATATACGTGATGTGCTTTCAAAATTCCCACTGAAACAATGCTCTAGGATGGTTATTATAAAAACCCTGTGTACATCCAGAAATATGATTATCACACAAAAAAATAAGAGGTTTGTTATCCAACTCATCATTAAGAGATTAAAAAAAAAAAAATCTCAGACCTAGAAACCTTCATGCACGTTATCCGCAAAAATATTTCTTTTTTTGGAAATAAAAGGATTTTTTCCCGCTCATCTCCACAGCTTTAAATGGACACAACTCTGCCTTCCCCAGGAAGCGTTTGCACACTCACACATTTCTGATTCCAGCAGCGCTTTGGGACCCAGGACATGACAAACTTCAGATTCCTAGAGCTGGTGCTCAGAGGATTCTCCACCCTGGCTGGGTTACAGCCCTCCACACACCCTAAACATTCATTTAAAGACGAGATTTTCCTTCAGAATTAGACCACAACCACTGACATTCCAGCCAAAGCAGCTTTCATCAGATCATTACTTACATTAAGGAGGATTTAGTGCCAAATCAGGCCTCTTCCTGACATGACAGGGAGTCCCCCCCAAGCAGGGGTAGAAAGAATTTGTTCTTCCCACATCACTGTATTAATTTTTTAAGAATGAAATATAGTATTTAGAGGAGGTACTTACACACCAGAAAGTAAATATTTAAATACAGGCAGACTCAAAGCATTACTGCTCCAAGAACTGCTGAGTAAGCAATAAAGGAAATTAAACAGCAGCACTCTTGCCAAAGAACAACAGCAGCAGCATCAAGAAGCAAAATGATCCTGGAAATATTCTGGATTTCTATTTTTTTTTCTTGAATTCAAGGTTGGACAGGGCTTGGAGCTACCTGGGCTAGGGGAAGGTGTCCCTGCCCATGGCAGGGGTGGGATAAGATGAGCTTTGAGGTCCTTCCAACCCAAATCATCCTATGATTCTATGGGTTATACTTCACAAAAAGAATGAATTTCCAAGCAAAAAAAACCTCAGAAAAAAATCCCTTCACAATCTCCCTCCCACATCAAACACTGGGCCACGTTCACCAAAGCAGCCTGACAGTGCTACCTGTGGGATCTGACAGTGAACAACTGCTTTTCAAACTGAGTCAGCGCACACATCCCCTCCAAGCAAACATTCAGCCAGGCCTTGGAGGAGGCACTGATGCCATGGAGCAGGCACTGATGCCATGGAGCAGGCACTGATGCCATGGAGCAGATCCACAAAGGCAGCACAACCAGACCACAGAATATTCTGAGCTGGAAGGGACCCACAGGGATCACTGAGTCCAACTCAGCTGAATCCCATAAAGGGATTCACCCCAAAGTTGAACGCTTTGGTGTTACTGGCACCACGTTCCAACCAACCGAGCTATCTCAGGTTCACCCTCACCTCCAGCAGCAAATCTGGATGCAAAAAATCTCTCGGAAGAAAAGGAATTTTTTCCTGTGTGTTTGCCACCCGTACTTACAGCCGTGGTAAGACGCTGGGGAACCTCCAGACTTGCCATACTCCTGCTCTGAGTAGCTGGTGGACAAATTGGGCTGGCTGGAGCCTCGGCCAAAGGTGATCTGGTTGCTGCCCACTCCGGTGGCCACCTGGGCCATGCGTTCTTTGGTCTTCAGGGCCTGGGCCCTCTCGGTCTTGAGCCGCTCGTCGTCCTTCAGGAGCGACACCAGCTGCTTGGACTTCTCCCTCACGTTGATGCCCTGGTCTTTGCCGTCTCGGTCGATGTACTGGAAATCCTTCAACGTCTGGATGGCAAAAATGTTCTCCTTGCACTGCTGGGCCACCCTCTCGGAGCCGGTTTTGATCAGGTAATCTAAGAGCGTCAGGGCCTTGTAGACGTGGCGCCAGTTCTTGCCGTGGTCGTTGAGCCGCTTCCAGATCATGCTCATAATTTCAGAAAAGGCCACAACGTTGTAAGTCAGATCTGCTATTTCAGTCATCAGCGAACTGGAAGGACCCCAGGGGTCATTGGAGGTCGCTTCCCGAACTTTTATTTCGGCCTCTGAGTAATTGTTCACAATGTTCTTCATCTGCCGTCTGATAGACGAAGTCGTCATGTTTAGTTCCCTTTTTGCCCGGGCAGGTTGCAGAACACAGACAGCAAAGGGGCTAAATTTGCTCCTCTATGAACGTTTCTGAACTGCAAAGGCTCCGTATCAGTGGCTTATTTGTAACACATTCCACTACAACCATTTCCTCTCTTCAAGGGAATGACACGAGAAAACGAAAATCATGACCTGAGTGAGGAAAGAAAAACAAAGCACGTTAGTGGTTCCTGCACAGCCAACAATCTGCATCCACTTGGGATGAATTTCCTAGAGGGAACTGATGGATTTTCTCCCTGAATTTCTTCTCCTCCTGAAAACAACTTGCTCTTCTCATGAGCAACATCAAACGTTTCAGATGAACAACCTGAAGCGCCGAGCAAAACAAAAGTGAGAAGATGACCCTGCTGATGGAACTGCCAAATTCTAAAATCAAACCAAACTCCAAGGAATTACTCACAAATTTAGTTTCCAAAGTACGAGCCTGGAATTTTTAATTACAGAAATTACAGCGCTCACAGAGCTGAGAACAAACCACATCAGAAACTCCGTGTTTGGCAGCTTCTCTCCAACACGGACAACTGCTCCCATTCCTGCAGGAATCTGAACTGAGGGGACGAGCAAACTTCCTAAAAATCAACCATTTCTGAAACCCCAGGTGAGTTTAAAGCCCACTCAGAGCCCCCCTGAGGCCCAGGGAAGAGACCTGAGCCCCAGCACAGCCTCCAGCCCAAGGTGACCTTTGATGAAAAGCAGATTAGAAGGGAATTTCTTCTCCCCAAATGCATTTTCCTTTGTCCATTTGGCACCACTCGTCAGACCCGCAGTTTCTGCTCCCTGTGCCTTTCACACAGCCCAGAAGAATTTTTAATTATATGAGGATGGAACTGTAAAGCCAAAATGATTGGCAAGAAAAGCCAAGGACAGGCTCTGGAGCTGGAGAGCTGTGTCAGTTCTTCAGTTAGGGTCACTGTTGCAAGTAAACAGAGGCCTATTAAGCTTTAGAATAAATTACTTGAGCAAACTGGCAGATTTTGCTGTTCCATGAAGACAGAACAGCCCCTGATATTCACCAGTTGCACAACACTGAGCGAGGGCTCTGCAACCAAACTCTCACAAACAGAGATGCCCATTCCAGATGTCCTCTCATGTTTCTCCAAACACTCCAAAAAAACCCAACCCTCTCCCTGACAAAGAGCCTGGAGACAAGTGAAGCACAGATTCCAGTGAGTTACTGTATTTTATCTTGTTCCACACCAAGGTTAATTTTTGGCAGATTAAGAACTCTTATGACATCGTGGAAGATGAACTTTAAATAAAATCAACACTAAACTGCAGGTAAATGGCATCACCCTGGTGTTTCCCCCAGTATCTGGAACCAGCTGTAGGAAAGTGCTGATCTGTTGGCAGATGGCTGGTGGCAACAGGAATAAAAAGGGGCATCTTCTGGGGCATTTACAGGTTTGTGCACTATAAACATGCATAAACATTCCATTTACAGAGTTAACGTTGCCCAAATTATCACCTGCCCCCGTGACGACTCTCTAACGCACGACTTGCAAAAGGCAGAGCAGCAACAGCAAGAAAAAATTAAAAAATATAAAAAAAAAAATGTAAAAAAGCCCACAACACACATCTTATTTATCCTAAACCATTTCTGGATGTCAATAATGGGTAAGGCAAGTTCACAGCCAAAGCAGAAACCAGTTCTCCAGGGGCACCTGGATGGTCCCACAGAAATAGGAGCAGGCTGCAGGCAGGAACTTCTGCAGCTGCTGAAAGTGCCAGGTACATCACAAACACAATTCTAGTGGTTACACAGATCCCAGAGCAGAAGAATCCAACCCCCCAGAAAGACTGAGCTTGCCATCCAACCAGAAAAGCAGTAAACAACATGAAAAAATCAAAACAGGGAGGACTGGAAAACCTTCGATAGCAAGGCCACCAAGGCCAACATCCTCCACCACAAACCTTCGTGTAAATGTTATGAGAAAGGAACACGGGACACATTTATCCCCCTGCCTTATCTTATCAGCCACTTGGACATCTCAGATGCCAGCAGTGGGCACACTGGGCCTTCTCCATGCCCTGCTGGAAGCCACCCATGCCCCCCTGAGCAGGTACAAGCAGGGGCACAGTGAGGGCACAGCCCAAGCAGGGACTTCAGCTCATTCCAAACCTGTTTGCTCCCCGAGCCGTGGGCAGGGACGTGGTTTCTAGGAAAGAACAAGTCACCTTGGGCTTGTCCCTGTCACTGGAATGGGCTGTGCCTTTCTGAGCTGAGGAGCTCCAGAAATTCAGGCTCTTTAGCAGCTTTTCCAGATCTCCAATCGTGGCCTTTCCACGCACGGATCCCATTCCCGTTTCTTCAGGCACACACACAGTTCCAAGCTCTTTGCATTTCAGATTTGGAAATAAATAGCAGAAGTTGACATCACAGCATGGCCATTCAATGCTCAGGATTTCCCATTTATCAAATACTTCCTAGAAGTCCCTGTGCCTTTTGGGAATCGTGCCTCTGCTCCTGCAGATGAACCCGGGGTGGTTTCTTCTCCATCTGCCACTTCATCCCTCAGCAGGTCTCAACTTTCATCCTTCTTTTCAAGGCAAATTCCCCTCAAATCCGACTGATTTGTTTCAGTTTGGCCACCTTATTTAGGACCAATCTGGAACAGGGAGTCTTTGCAAGAGCACTGATCTTCAGCAGGACACTTGGCTGGGAACAGCCCTTCCCTGTGAGAACCAACCACTCACTCCTAACCCCGTTTCCTGTCTCTTAACCCGCTGTAAATCTGTGAAAAAAACATTCCTGTCTTAGGAGAGTTTTATTTCTTTAAGGCCAGGCATGAGAGGCCTTACCTAAATATTTTTACAAGCACATGTAGGACAAAGTGCCTCACCTGTGCATCTCCCAAGGAAAAAAAGGAAAAAAAAAAAAAGTTTTATTACTTTACAACCTTGTTTAAGCTTTTGGAAAAAATCTTTTTAACACCTCTCGTGTAAATCCTTGAAGAATTAATCATCCTCCCAACACAAGCAGGGGCACAGACCATCAGGGCTCAGTCTGGCATGCCAGGCCAAGCTGAACCTCCAAACCCTCTGAGTGCTCCCCCTTTCTCCCTCTTGCACCAAAATCCAGCCATTTTTACACAACAACACTGAAAATATTCAACCTCAAGTCTCCCAAGCCTGTGAGAAGAGTAAGAATGACCCGACCCTGGGCCTCACTTTTGGAGCTGATTAAATGTAACATAAAGCTTGTCCAGGTCCAAAAAACAGCCCCAGAAAGAGGAGAGCTTTTCATTCCTTCCCCAGTGGGAAACAGGGGCATCTGATTTCAGAGGAGAAACCCAGGGAAGAAAGGCAGGACCCTGAACTGGGAGCTTTTGGAGTGTGAAGCCTCTGAAGGTGGCTCCTAGCAGACAGCAAGCCTGGAGCAGGGTTTTGGGAGAACAATCAGAGCAAACATTTACAGGAGAGAACGCACTGCAGTAAGTGAAACGAGCCATTTTCACTCTTTCAGGAAATTAGGTTTTTCATTTGTCGTTCTGTAACAACTCTGAAACCATCAATCCATCAACGCTGCCCTGATCCTTCACCTTCCTATCCTTGAATCATGAAAACAAAGGCACTTCACGAGCCACGTTAATGTCTGTTTTCTTCCTTTTCTTGATGGACACGTTGTAATCTTATTCTACTCATAACCCACTACAGACAACTTACTCTAAACTTCATTTTACCCTGCTGGGAGCACAAAGGATGACTGGAGTGGGAAGTTGCTGGGGTCTTTATTCCTCTCTGTTGGTAGTTGGACCAATATTCCAGGTGAGCACTTGACCCTCCTCAGGAGCCCTGGGAGCCAAGCCACAAAGCCCTTAATAAATGTAGTTCAAAGGGAAACAGCCACACAAACCCACCCATGGACAGGCTTGCAGCAGAATCCATTCACACCTCTGGAATGTTCCTCTGCACTGCTGTCTGCCCTCCACATCAGCCTGAAGGTAAAGATACGCATAATCCAGCCAAGCATGGACTGGAAATGTAGGAAAAGCCTTTAATATCAAGTGTGAAAATTAACATTAAACATAGGAAGCTCACCAGACCCTTGCATTAAATCTTAATTAACAGTACTATAAACAACACATAGAGCTAGATTAGACATTTACTGTAAGTAACGTGCATAAAAAGTGAGGGTTTGGAAATGGGGATTAATTCCACCAGTCCATCTGTGATCTGTCTCTACAGACATCAATCTACATAAAGACATCCCTGCCTCACCTCTTGGGGGGCAACACACACAAACACCCAGAGATCTGCTCTCCTTGCCATCAGGCAGGTGATCCCCAGGGACCTGGATTCCAGGATAAATCAGATCCCTGCCAGTCTGCACAGAACCAGGCCAAGAGAAGGAGCTGCCAGAGGCTGAGCAGGGAAGAAGCTCCCCCAGACAGACACCGACCCCAGCCCTGCACACACTCAAACACAACCCCAATCCCAGCAGGGAGTCCCATTTATGGCAAAGAGAAGGGATTCCCATTGCCTGACAATAAATTCACATCCCTGTTTTCTTGGCACAGCTCGTTATATGAACAAGTCCAGGCCCACTGTGTTTTAGAAAGTCTCATTTCACACAGGTCAGAAATTCAGAATAAAGGAAAACTGAGCACAACCCTTTATATAAAAATTGGGATATATAATCCAGAAAAAAATCACAGCAAAGGCATTTTTCTTACACCGGATCCCACACGACTGGAGGAATTTTCTCTCCCAGCTTTTTTTTCCCTCACTGTCTTCATAAATAATTCCCAGAGAACAACTGGCAGACCAGAGGGTATCATTACACTGCCTATGATATGATATCCAACTGCAACACAAACCTTGTTCCCAAATGCAAACAGGAAAAGGGGCAAGTGTACATTGTGGTCACTTGGAGGAGGGGACTGAGAGGAGAGAAGCAGCTTGGCACTGTCCAGAAAAGCCAACAAGTAACACACTTATTAGCTCTCTTTTGCTATTGTACAGCGGAGAAAACAGCAATTCATGGGAATTAAACAGCCAAGTGAAGACACTGAAATTACCATCAATGCCCTTCCTCAACCTTCAAACTTATTTAGGAAACGAGCCACAAATACAGGTTGGCAAAGGGTTTGAAGAACAGGGTTTAAGTCCAGAGGAAAGATTTCATTTCCATT